GTCTTGTCAGACCAAATATTTGTGGGGAAGAGGATAGTGCTTAGCAATAAAATGGATTAGCTAAGTGATGCACTTATAAGGTTGTTATGGCCAAAAATAGAACTGGATTCCTAGTGTTCCCATCTGGAATCTCTTGTATTTGACCTGAGATAGTTGTGCACATCTTATAGCAATCACTCAGTGATGTGTTACAACAAAAGAGCCAAAGACCGCATATCATTTTTTGCAAAAAAAGAGAAAAACGCCTGCTGAAGTTACACACACACAAAAATCACTTGTCATTCCCTTATCTTGATGCTTCTGATAGGTCCAGGGACAGGAAAGTGCCAGGTGGGCTAATGAGCGGTGATGGGGGGAGGTCCCAGAATTAGGCTGGTAGAATCTCAGCCCATGGTATTAATGGTCTCTTTTTCTGTATTGCCACAACATGCATTTGGCACTAAACTGGTTGCTGAAAATGAGCTAGTAGAATAGAGTCTATTTAAATTTAGCAAAATAATTCTGATTTTAAGCATTTTTTTCCAGTTTATAGACATTACTTGATTTCTCAAATACTAAGTTAGGACCTTTCCGAACTTTAAAAGGTAATTTTTTTCACGGAAGAAATGATGATAAAATTATCTGTATACTTAAACATATCATAGTACTAATTTCCCTTCACATTTTTTCCTGCTGCCTCTGTAACCTTTACAAAGCCAGTGCATAGTCTGTGCTGAATTGTTCTCTGCTGAATATTGTGTCATGCTTTGTCCATATTCCCTGCATAATAAAGCTCCTATAGATTCCCTTGAGAAGCCAGGCCACTCTCTAATAGCACTCACTATTTGGCAGTTCTCCTTAATAGCCTAAATCTAAATTTAGCTTTTCCTCCTTTCATCTCATTACAGCTAGTTATAAGCTTTATCATTTCAAAACACAAATGCATTTTCAAATGCAAGGGGGAAAAATAGCTTTATGTCCCGGTTTGGCTTACAGTGGTGTAATAAGTTTATTGTAATTTTACCTGTGCTGCATAAAACTTTTTGGCTTTTTACTGAACCAAAGCTTTTATTGCCAGGTCAAGTTTCAGATAAACGTTTAACACAGTTTCCCCTGTGTTTTGTAGGTCGAAGAGGCAGAAGCTAGACGCCTGTTCCAGCAGATTCTCTCTGCAGTGGATTATTGTCACAGGCATATGGTTGTCCACAGAGACCTGAAACCAGAGAATGTGCTGTTAGATGCACACATGAATGCCAAGATAGCTGATTTTGGTATGTGACCCCAACAGCATTCCAGAAATGTAGCCAGCTACGAGGCACTTGCTGTCAGTGTAACTTGCTTTACAAAACCCAGAGTCTGTTTTTAGAGCCACTAGCAATTTCTTGACTTGAAAAGCCCAACTTTGTAAGTTGTGTCCCTCCAAGAAAAGCTTACTAGGTAGAGAGCTTTTGTGTTTGTGCTATAAAGTAAATGAGTTTTCTAACAATGGAGTAGCAAGAGAAATTACAGGGAAATTTATATTTAGCTAATTACTGTTCATTGCAGACGTCCTTGCAGTTATCTCAGGAATGACTTTGGCCCCTTAACATCTAATCTCATACGCCTCTTCCTTTTGTAGTGCCTGTTGGGGGTCATTTGTTTTACAAATGAACAGTGACTGGAAGCTTCAGGTGACACTACTACTTAACATAATATTAATAAAGATCGTTACCAGATGGAGGCATCTGATTCAACAATTTTTGAATCATTCATAAGAAGTAATGCCCTTCAAATTTATTTTTTTTATCATATGCTTCCTTTTCTACTTCTTTTTTTCTTCTTTTCAAAGCTTGTGATCCATTCTATAAGAATCTTGGTTTTTTACGGTCCTCTATCATGATGTCAGACTATGCATTTTTGTTTGTTTTTGAAGGGTTGTCTAACATGATGTCGGACGGGGAATTTCTGCGAACGAGTTGTGGTTCCCCAAACTATGCCGCTCCTGAAGTCATTTCTGGAAGGTAGGATATAGTTTCTAGGGTTGGAAGGGACCTGAATGGATCATCAAATCCGACCCCCTAGATATACAACTGGGGGGAAAAAACTCACCATAATCAAAGTAGGCATATGGGTGGGATTCTTGCATTTATTCTTGTCTAGTGAACAGCTTTTCACAGCTGGAAAAAATGACAGAATCTTTCCCCTCATTTTTAAATATTGAACTGAACTAGTTTTAAAACCAAAAACCATGTTGGTGGCTTTTTTTTTCCTATGTTAAAACTGGTAAAACTGTGTTCCTGAATATAAACATTTTTAAGGAGTTATTAGAGAGTAAATGTTTGTTGGCATATATCAAAGAATAGAAAAAATACATTTTTGACCCTAACTAATTTCTTTTTGCATTCAAAAAGGCTGCTTCTCCCAGTCCTCTAAAAATGTGTATTCATCCATCTTTGACATTGTCTGTATTTATAATACAAAATGCTGCATGGGGAAGGAAAGCTATTTACTAATCAAACAACCAGTTTCACTTACCACTTTCCCATAGCTTGACAGCTACTCCATTTGAGAAATTTTGTCTCCTGCTTTGTTTTCAGCCATTTTTATTCCAACGAATAGGTTGCTGCCATCATAACGTCCTGTTATGTTCATGAGAAACCAAAATCTGTTGTCACGCACTGCAGTACTGCTGGTATTCAGCAGCTGTATAGTACGTTACATATTCAAAACGCTGCATACGTCTGAATTTATTTCCATCATACTCACATGGAATGACTGCCTTTCTCTTTTTACAGTTGGAGAAACAAAGTCATGGAGACATGAGTTAATTTGCCCCATTCTGTGCAGTAAGTCAGTGGCAGAAGCAAGATTAAAAACAAGGATTTCCTAATTTAGGACAAGCCTACACAGCGCAATACAGAGTCAAGTAGAAATATCTGAGTCAATCTGATTTTCTTTACAGGCCACTACATTGTACAGTGCAGATGTACCGCTCAAGTCATGTCCGTATTCCTCTTGACCACATTCTTCCCGGTCACCCATCATTTACTTTTTTTTAAATCATGTCTTGTTTGCCTATTAGCGTAGCAAAATCCCAGTGCCTTTACTCTGTATCAGACTTGCAGCAGCCTACAAACAGAGCACTTAGTTCAAGTTGACTTGTTTTGATTAAGATCATTCACTCTGTGCCAGGGTAAAATGTGGCATGATATTCTAGGAATTGGACTACCACCAGCAAAACTAGTTGTTGCAATAGCTCAGTTACAGGGAAGAATGGGTCATACTGGCCAGAGAGGGAGCAAAGCCAGAGTCTATTGCTACCCTAGCTCCAAAGAGCTTCAATTCAAGCTTACCCTTCCCATGTAACCTTTAAGAGAATGCGAAAACTATTTCATTCATGTAGCGTATGAGATAAGGCATTGCCAGACAAACCAGGTGTACTACCTTCTGAATCTGAGAGAAGAGACTAAGCATTGCAAGGACTCGAGGGGAAACCCTTTATTATTAAGAAAAGAAACCAATACAAATTTAAACCCCCCCCGCCCCAAACATGCCCTTATACTTCCAAATCAGGTTCATCTGGTAAGGCCTTTTCTACAGTGCCCCACCTTCCCTGCATCAGAAATTCTCCCAGACACTACTAGTGACTCGCTTATTTTATAAACTTGAAAGGTTTCCCAGCATGCTCTGTTTTTAAAGGGAGAGCAGCCTATCGAGTTACCTTTGTATTTCTGTTCCACATAGCATGGAGAGCGGTCAGCCTGCTAGCAGTCTGTTGCTGTCCCTTGATTTGTATAGGAAACCAGAGCATGCAGACAGACTCCTTACCTTATTTTGGTTCTAAAAAAAAAAAAATCAAATTGTGGATTATCGTACAGTCTGAAAGCTAGCAGAAATACGTGAGTCCCAAGACTGCCAGCAGTAGGACCTCATCGTAGGCACACTTGGGCATCTCAATAATTGGCCGTGTTTCCCACAAGCTTAGCAACCTTCACTAGCAATAGGAGCTGCTGGGTGACAAGGATTTCTGAAAATGGAGGCTATTATTGAGATATTCTTTGTATGTCCGGAGACCAACTGCTGAAAACCTTGTTCAGAAAAAAGAGTAGAGCAGCTTTCTCTATGGTAGTGAAAAAGCGGTTATGCCAAAACTTTGGAATAACTAGGGACCTAATTAACAACTTGTCAAAAGCCGGAGTGCTTTTATACCAATGTACAAGCTCCTTAAACTGAAAATCAAGACACACAGCTATAATATCAGCTGGTAGTTATGTCTGCCTTGGTGGATGACTCAGTATTGTCGTCTGACTCCTTCAGCAACATGAGAGCAACCCATTAACAGCTGCTGGAAAGGCTTGTTAGCAAACCTGGTTCCTTTTAAAAACATCTGCGGCAACATCAGAGCGAAGCGGCCACAGCCTGTGCTCTCCACTGCAGGGGTCAAGGTGCAGGGAGATGCCACGAGACTTTTGACCACCCTGCTACGCGGATGTCCTCTGCCCTGTACTACAGAGCTTGTCGGACTGACTTGAGAAACATTGGGAAGCAGATAAAGCAGGGAGCTGAAATCTTCTCTGTTACCTTCACTCGGTTTAGGTTGTACGCTGGCCCTGAAGTGGATATCTGGAGCTGCGGTGTGATTCTCTATGCTCTTCTCTGTGGCACTCTCCCATTTGACGATGAACACGTACCCACGCTCTTTAAGAAGATCCGTGGAGGCGTATTTTACATCCCCGAATACCTCAACCGGTCAGTTGCCACTCTCCTCATGCACATGCTGCAGGTCGACCCGCTTAAACGAGCAACTATCAAGGACATAAGGTAATGTCAAGCATCCCAAGTCACAGCAAACACCTCGTGGCTGATGGGCAAGCCATGGTACATAGCGTGTCTTACAAATGCTCATATATGTATTCTAGAAAGTAGCTGGGACTTTTTATGTAGCATTATTGAATTGTTTAAGGCAGAGGTAGGCAAAATGGTGGATCTGGCCAGTGGCTGGACTCCATTTCCCGGCAGCCCCTGCCCACGTCGCTGCAGTTGGTTTCCATGGAGACCCCAGGAGTGACAGCACCGTGACAACGTGGGGCCAGTGTTTCCATGGAGACCAGCCCCAGCCGTGCTGGAAGGGCGCAGGGCTGGGTAGGGAGCTACTCCAGGGCTGGGATCTTGCACTGGTGTCAGCATCGTCTGCAGCCAGGGCAGAGCGTGATCTACTACCTGCACATCCTTGCAGAGGGCAGTGGGTCACAGCTCTGGACCATGCTGTCAGCGCCGCAAGATCCCAGTCCCAGAGCAGCTCCCTGCCCAGCTGTGCACCCTGCCAGTGTTGCTGGGGCTGGTCTCCATGGAAACCCTGGCTCTGTGCTATCATGGCACCACTACTCCTGGGGTCTTTTTGATTGTCAGGGGTTGGAAGGGACCTTGTAGATCATCAGGTCCAGTCCCCTTGCACTAGGCAGGAAAAGACAAGTGGAGTCAAGTGACCCCAGCAAGGTGACTGTCCAACCTCCTTTTGAAAATTACCAGGGTAGGTGACTGCACGAGTACTGGAGGGGGTTTATTCCATAATCTGAACACCCTGATTGTGAAGTTTTTTCCTGGAATTGAGCCTGAAGCAGCCTTCCAGGAGTTTGTATCCATCGGTCCTGGTCTTCCCCAGGGGTGCCCTGGTGAACAGTTGTTCACCAAGTTCTTGATGTACTCCCCTGATGTAGCGCTATGCCACTACCAAGTCCCCTCTCAGCTGTCTCTCCTGTAGGCTGAAGAGGCCCAAGTCTCTCAGCTTCACCTTGTATGGCTTGTTTTGCAAGTCCCTGATTATACAGATGGCTCTTCTTTAGAGCCTCTCAAGTTTTTTTACATCCTTGTTGAAGTGTGGTGCCCAAAACTGGACGCAATACTTCACCTGCGGTCCCACCAGTGCAAAGTACAGTGGGAGTATCACTTCCTTAGTTTTGCATGAGATGCACTGCTTAAAGCACGTCAGTGTGTTGTTTGTCCTGCTGGCCACAGCATTGCACTGCCGGCTCGTGTTCCTGCGATGGTCGATCACTACCCCTAGGTCCCTTTCAGCTGTGGTGCAAGTCAAATTGTTACCACCCAGCCTATAGGTATGTTGGGGACTGTTTGCCCCCAGATGCAGCACCTTCCGCTTCTGAGTGTTGAGCTTCATCTGGTTCCAGTCTGCCCAGCTCTCCAGCCTGTCCAGGTCCGCCTGTATCTGCAGCCTGTCTTCTGGTGTGACCATGCTTCCCCATAATTTGGTGTCGTCTGCAAACTTGGCCAGTGAGCTTTTCACCCCCGCATCCAAATCATCGATAAAAATATTGAAAAGTGCCGGTCAAAGCACAGACCCCTGAGGGACACCACTGGCCGTGTCTCGTCAGGATGACAAAGATCTGTTCATGAGAACTCTCTGGGTCCCACCACGCAGCGAGTTTTCCACCCACTGAACTGTTGAGCAGTTAAGCCCACAGTTTTCCAATTTTTCCACAAGGATATTGTGGGATGCTAAATCAAAAGCCTTTTGGAAGTCTAGGTGTATAATGATCTTCTCTTCCATGTCCAAGTGGCAAGAGACCTGTTCATAGAAGGAGATGAGGTTGGTAAGACAAGACCTACCAATGACGAAGCCATGCTGGCTGTCATTCAGGATCTTACCCTCAACGAGTGTGTTGCACATAGATTCTTTAATGAGTTTTTCCAGGATTTTCCCTGGGATAGAGGTTAAGCCAATTGGCCTTTAGTTGTCCAGGACCTCCCTCTTCCCCTTCCTGAAGATGGGCACAATGTTGGCCGTCTTCCAATCCTCAGGGATCTCCCCCGTGTGCCACGATTTCTGAAAGAGCTTTGCCAGGGGTCCCACGATGACCTCAGCCAGCTCCATCAGCACTCTTGGGTGAAGTCCATCTGGTCCCTCTGACCTATAAATGTCTGGCTTTTCTAGCTGGTTTTGCACCACCTCAGCATCCACAGTAGGAAGGCTGTCATTCCCACCGTGCCCCCTGTGATCATTCCCACCATGCCCCACTTCATGGAAACTGGCCGCAGTGACGCAAGCAGAGGGCAGCTGGGAAATGGAGTCCGCCGTGGGTCCAATCTGGCCCGTGGGCCAGACTTTGCCTGCCCCTGGTCTAAAACTTCCTGAATACTACCTGACAAAGACAGCCACATGATGCAATATGGTGAATAAATCTGTCTTCATCAGCTGTAGCTTAATTGAAATATTTCTCTTCATTATTCTGGTTCAGTGTAAATTGTCCTTAAAAATCTGATCTCCACCACATATGAGAGCAAGAAAAGTGGAATGCGTAGATTTAGTTCTAGAAATTAACTCGCAATGAAAATAATGTTTCGTAATGAGGGGAAGTGGCTCACTTTTAAATGCAATCTAGTTTTCTCATCTAGGAATAACGTGATGATGATGAACCTTGTCCAGCTCGTATTACTATGCAAATTCAGGATAACATGAGCATTGGGATCTTGAGCTGAGATTTGCACCTCTAAATATAATTAAAAATGCAGGTCTGACAGCCAGAATTAGAGAATCTTACAAACGGAGTAATTTTACGAAAGTGTGTTGTAAAACAGAGATGAGGTATAGTTTGTGAAATTTATAGTAATCATTAAATCTAAGTGGTTCTTTAAAATGTGTGTGTAAATGTTAGTGAGACTTTGAGGAATTCTTGGGTTTGTAAACCATTTGCAAATGGTGGGTTTATAGTACGCCTTCCATTAAAATCTATGCTGTAAATGCTGTTTTTACTTCTCAAGTCACTTAGAATACAGAATTTAATAACATGTAAAAAAGCAGCACATTGGAAAGAACTATGGTTGAGAATGGGATGTGGAAATTTAATTCTCCAAGATATTTAGGGACCTAACTCCCACTGTTTTGTTGCCAATCCCTGGGAGGTAGGCATCTCAATATCTCTGGAGAGCTGAACTCGATTGCTTTATATCCATACCAGGACAGTAGTAACTAAAAACATCTAACGTGTATTTGGGTTTCTGTTGAGATCCTAACAGACAGAAGAAAGCTGCACATGCGGTGGTTGCAAGTGAGTCCTGCCTTGTTTTGCAGTGACCATTTTGTACAGTGGGCAGACGTGTTAGCAGTTAAATCAGAAAGACCCCAAACTACTACAGCAGCATGATCTGAAGGAAGCACATGCTGTTGGTATTGGTGTGTTAACAAATGTTGGTCAAGCTGTCAGATCAAGGCGTTGTATGATCACTTCATTTTCACATTCGTTCCTTTTTTGAACTCTGCTACACCCAGGCCAGAACAATATCTTGAGGCAGAGTGTGGCTAACTGAATACCAAGACATCACGAAAGGTAACAGATCCAATCGTCAACTGCTGTTGATCGCCGTATTGCCACTGAAGTAAAAATACTTGCCGGTTTACATTTACGTAAGCTGAGGTTGCTGGCTTGTAGTATCACCTTTAGGCTGTAGTTCGTAGAGCGAGACATGCCTCAAGTGTCCGTGAGTAGATGCAGGGCTCATTTGCTCTATAGTCACTGTTTCATTTCTTTTTTTTTCCCTTAGAGAACATGAGTGGTTTAAACAGGAGTTGCCCACTTACCTGTTTCCGGAGGATCCTTCCTATGATGCCAACGTCATCGATGACGAGGCGGTGCGGGAAGTGTGTGAGAAGTTTGAATGCACAGAGTCCGAGGTGATGAACAGCTTGTATAGTGGTGACCCACAAGACCAGCTTGCCGTAGCTTACCACCTTGTTATTGACAATCGGAGAATCATGAACCAAGCCAGTGAGTTCTACCTCGCTTCCAGCCCCCCCACTGGCTCATTTATGGATGACAGTACTATGCACATCCCACCTGGGGTGAAACCACACCCAGAGCGGATGCCTCCTCTAATAGCAGACAGTCCCAAAGCAAGATGTCCTTTGGATGCTCTGAATACTACTAAGCCAAAACCTCTGACTGTGAAAAAGGCCAAGTGGCATCTAGGAATCCGCAGTCAAAGCAAACCTTATGACATTATGGCCGAAGTGTACCGAGCTATGAAACAGCTGGATTTCGAATGGAAGGTAGGAAAGATCAATGCTTTACAGTCATTTTCAAGGATGATTGCCTTATCATTTCTCCTGAGCTGAACTGATCAGCAAATCTATTAAGTATAGTTATCACGTGGTCTGTTTCTAAAGTAATGCTAGTATACCATCACTATCTCAAATATTTTCAGTTAAACACACCCAACATTAAAACTTCCAGTGTACTTTAATACATGCAGGGTTTGTTTATGGCAAAAATATGCATGTTGGCCTTGGGCTGAACAAAAATTTCTTCCTTGGTTATCTGTAGGGACAAGAGGAGTTGTTTAGTTTTTTAATTTTAGTGACTCATTCCCTGATAGGCACCTAATCTTCAAAGCTGCTGAGAAAGTAGCTCTCCTATTTCTGCATGGGTCACACGTCCTACAAATATGCAATATGTTTCCCTTTATTCTTTCTTAAATGATGCTCCAGCTGCGAGGTTGGTATACTTTATGCACGGAAGTTCTTGCACCGGAAGAATTAGCATTGTGGCATTTGTGGACATATTTCTAATGGGGGAAGGCACACCTCTGTCCAGTTCAGGCTTTCAAGCATTTACTGCTTTCTAAACAATGCCTCTTCAGAGGCAAGTAGGCTGAGTTTTTTCAAGCTTGAGCTGAGCTCAAAGGACTTTTTTGTAATTTAGTAATATGCTACCTGTTCCTTTGAGGTATCCATTCATAGGCCAGTTAGCATTTAGGTTTTCTTGTTCAGGTAAGTTCTTGCCATTGGTTTGGCCATCAGCAAGAATTTCCACGCCTGATTCTCCACAGCCCTGGGTGGTCACTTACGACTGTATAAAATATATCTTTCCTAACGCATTGGCTTTTTACAACTATTTTACATGGGTGTAAATAGGAACCTGGGTAGAAGTGAGCTAAGAATCTCTGACAGTCTGCACGATACAGCTGTTTTTATCCCACTCACTCATTCTGCTGTGGCTCACTTAACCACATGTTGTTCTAACTATTAACATGGTTGTTTGGAAAAACCTGACTTTTATGCATTGATTTATGAGTATTAACATGAAATTAGTAGGCAAAATGGCTCAACCCAGGCACTTGTCTACAGGGACTAGCTTTGCATGAAGCTTGAGACAGTGTTGAGCGTTGTTGTACAGACTGTGGCAGTTGCCAGTGTCAGTCGGTCTCCCTAGAAGGTAGACCATAGCTTTCAAGAGTAGAAGGATGCATTAGCCCATTTAGTCCAAGCAGGTAGGCCACAGAATTTCACACACTGACCCTGGTATAGGGCACGTGTTTGATTAAAACATTTCTTCCAAAATTGGGTCATTTTCAAACGCAGGTGATTTGATTTGTTTTACTGCCACCATCTGCTTTGAAGAGCTAACGGTAAAGTGGGGTAGTCTATAGGAGTTGTTTAGTTGCAGAGTACAGATACTCACAGATGCTCGGGTCAGAAGCGACCTCAACAGATCATCGAGTCCAACCCCCGCCCAGGCAGGAAAGAGTGCTGAGGTCAGATGACCCCTGCCAGATGCCTATCCAATATTATTATAAAGATATTAATTATATTATTACAATGAGATATATAATAATAGATAAGATAACATAACTATATATTATGAGAGATAACGTATGCATAATATATTATTTCATAGAATTAGTGATTGTATGTTTTCTCAAAGAAATATTCTCCCTGTTAATTGAGTTACTGCAGTTTCTAGAGGCCTGACGCCTTTGTGTTTTTTCACATTTTAGTAGTACCTAGAAGCCAGGGAGGCATTTCTTAAAAAACGCCTTTTAGAAGAAACTAGACTATTTATTTGTTTTAAAGCAGTTGTTTTTTTCCAGGCAACATTTTTTTTTCTTGAAATGTTTCACCCTCAAAAAGGGGGAGAGGAAAGAAATGCTTTTCTTTCCACCATCCTGAATCCGAGTCCTGAAAGATTGGTGCCTTGTTCTAGGTGGTGAACTCCTATCATCTTCGAGTGCGTCGGAAGAATCCAGTAACTGGAAATTACGTGAAAATGAGTTTACAGCTTTACCAAGTTGACAATCGAAGCTATCTCTTGGACTTTAAAAGCATTGATGGTAAGCAGGAAGTGACGTGGCATTAGAGTTAAAGCACGGCATCCGCCGTGGGAAGGCTATCATTCCCACCATAGACTAGTAAGTTCTGAGGGTTGCTTTGATTTCCATTTTCTTGTATTTTTTCTTTTGGTATCTGCTACTGTTTCCAGGCTCCACCACACCGACCCATTTGTCTCCACTAGAGTTCCTCTGACAGTTTAATGGTTCTTTATCCTGGTAAAAGGGAGCAAAAAGTAATTTCCTATCAGCTTACATACACATCATATGCAGCAACATTTTTCTTATCTGCTGTGAACTGGTTTTGATCTTACTTGTGTTAAAGTAGCACTAGGACACTAACAAATCCCTAGCTGGTAGGATCTCTCACCCGGGAACGGGAGTTGAGCTTCAGTCTCTACGCTCACCTTTTCCCATTCTGCAGTAACATACGTTTGAAATCCACCATGGTGAGGTTGAAATCCTGGATTCAGGGAAGTTAATAGAATTTTGTCACTGACTTGAGTGGGAGCCAAGCTTTCATTCCTCGTGTTGGTTGGCTGCACATTGCGGACGTAGAAAGTTTTCTTCCTGGGCAGGCCCCAGCCACACTGCCAGCTGAGTTGGTGCTAATTAACACTGTGTGTTTGTACATTTTTAAGATGACGTCATGGAGCAGAGGTCAGGCTCATCCACACCCCAGCGCTCTTGCTCTGCGGCTGGCTTGCACAGACCAAGACTGAGTATTGATTCTGCTGCTGCTGAATGCCAGTCGCTTACTGGATCCCTGACTGGTTCCTTGACTGGGAGCATATCCTCCGTTACTCCACGCCTGGGGAGCCACACCATGGATTTTTTTGAAATGTGTGCCAGTCTCATCATGGCATTAGCTCGCTGACAAGCAGCATCGAGTCACCGGTCCCTCCTCATGCAATGCTGCACTGTGAGAATCTGGTCCTGTATCACTTATTTGTTTCCTTTTTACCTCCCACCTTCCCCCTCGTTTTTTGCTCTTTGGTCTCATCCTGGGAATCGTGTACATTGCTGTGCAAACTCTTCAGGATCCAGATACTCCCTTGCAAAGGATCTGGTTGGCTGTACAAAGCATTAAGGGAACTAGAAACAGGTTTGTGTTGCTTACTGCATTCTGGTGGGATAAAGAGAACCAGACAGCTTTTACCAGTGAACACGATCAGGAAACTTGGCCACGGTTTTAAAATAGTAAGTGCATCGCTAAGCTTATTGGTAAACAACCCTCTCTGAAATGTTACCCCTATTTAAAAGCAAACTTGGCTAAGCATCAGTGTCTTTAACACCAGCGCTGCTAAGTGAGATTTTTATTGTATCCCTGTTGCTATTCAAGGGGGGAATCCCATGGATGAACCAGGTCAGACATATAGACAAGTTAAACGGAATCTGGGCATAATAAAACAACGTGGCAGTATTTACAAACCGGTGCCAGTAAGGCTCTAAGAGAGATTTGCCAGCAGGCCTCTGTTATCACCTCCCTCGTAAAAACCAGCAGTTGCTTAGATGCTTCTGTGATCTTGAAACACGTCGACCTGCTTCATGTGTCAGGTGGTGGGAGTACAGGACTGCATGCCAGGCATGGCTCACATTGCAGGCATGCTACAGAAACAAAGTGAGGCTCCAGATGAAGAGCGAGACACACATTTCCCCATTTTAGTCCCCCTACTTGCCTCTTTTTCAGGCTTAGCTAGCTGTTTTGGACCTGTTGGACAGTCCTGGCCGCCTCATCCCCTGTGTGGTCAAGGCTGCTTGCTGTATTGCGCCACCTGCACTCCGAACCTGCTCTTGTTCACGGTTGGGCACCTGTAAACAGGCCCATGTATCTGAATGGAAAAACAAAACAAAAAACCCATTCAGTCCCCGGAAACAAGAGGTGTGTGCCAAACTTACTACTGCTCTCCGGGTAACATCTGAGTAGTGACGACTGCTCACTAATTTCTCCTTCAGGGTATCTTCCATATCCCTAGCAGTAGAGGTGGCCATGAGACAGAGAGTAGCTGGTTTGGATGAGGACAGATATTTATGGAGCAGGGTTCTGAAGGTATGGGAGAGCATGGGAGAGGGGCTGCTGGAAGGAAAGAGGCAAGGGGTTGTTGGAAACATGGCAGGAGCAAAGACTTTGTTGGAAAGGAGTGGGAGCAAGGTACTATTGGAGACGAAGAACCTGTTGCTTACTGTTAGCTTCCCAGGCACAGCTCCACTTGCTTTCAGCCAGCTTGCTTTTTAGCTCGAGCTTGTTTCCTCTGGTCTAACACCCACCCACAATCCATCAGGTAGCCAACCACACAAATACACCCCAGGTGCTATTCCCTACTCCCCTCCCCCAGCACAGACATGCACACCACCACCGCTCAGCGTGCCAGGACTCCTCGCTGGCCTGCAAGCACAGAGGTGGGACAGAAATACTACCTGAACCCCCAGTTACGTGCTGTGCGTGCCAAGTGTGCATCAGCCAAGATACGTGACACAGCTTTGTGACATGGGTAGTGGGGATGGTAATTCCCCCTCCAAAATACACAGGTGCTTGAAAGGTCAAGAGGTTCAAGATGATCTTTCATGTCCATGCAGAAGGTCCCTTCTTCCTACTTTATCCTTGCCCCAAGGTAGCTGCCCTTTTTACCTTTCTGGTCCTACTTTGTATAGGGGCTTCCCTGTGTACCATTTCATCGTAGTCAGCAGTTAAGTTTGAAAGTAGAGTTTCAGGCCTAAGGGCTTTCATGTACTTCTAATGCTTAATAGACTGTGACCCTCATTGCTCTACTGGTAAGGCAGGGATATCTTACGGTTTTATTGTTTCTTTGTTACTGGTTATCTGAAGGATTGGATTGTGTTTTTTTTTTAAACAAACTATAGGGATTTTTATGGTTAAAATTCTTGTTTCAACAAGGGTAAACTGCTCATGCGTGGACCTTTTGCGTAACTAAAAAAAACACACTTCAGCTTAATATAATGGGGAGCACTGGCATTGCTATGGTATTTAATTCTCCTCACCTGACTACAGAACTAATCACGTCAAGAAACAGCTGCTGCTTAAAAAATGTTGCCAGAAATCTTGACTGTTTATCACAAAAACAGGAGAATTTTGGCAAGGTCGGTGCCTCCCCATTAAGGAAAAAACACGGTTCAACTTTTAAACGTATTATAAACTTGTTTATAGAGTTCTTTTGCTAGATTATTGTTCTTGTTTTGTAAAGTTGCACTTTAATTTATACTATCTGAAAGTTTCTATAAGATGCAAGGAAAAGAATGATACAATAGGCCTTTATATTAACCATGTTAGATAATGAAGGCAAACCAGGTATTTTGCCACCTGCTGGCAGTTAAAAAGACTTTGTCAACATATAATGTTGGTATTATTCTTTTTTTTTTTAAAGAAAGCACAAATTGCCTTACTTTTGTTACTGATGACACCTTAGATTGACACTGGCATAACTTTACACTTTTTTTTCCACAAACCACATTTAGACAGTGAGAGCAGCAGCGCAAGCTGCAGAAACCATGTCACTGTTCAAGTGTTAGTTAGAGTTTTGATTAGTAGGAAAATGATTTTTTTTTTTTTTAATGGAAACATTGGGAATATTTGTAGTACTCTTAAATTTTGTAACATGCAATTTTTTTAAATTTGAATTTAAAAAAAATGCTCTGGGATGGAAGGGTCTCCAAGGCGTTGAACTGGTGTCTGGCAGGTGCATTATTTTACAGTCATTTGGCAGCCTTGCAAGGCCATGGAGAATCCACCCCTCTAAGCTCTTTTGTGAAGATTTAGGGCCAAATTAGACTTCCTTCTTATCTTGCTACAATCTTGGCTGGTTTATTAGGAGTCTTCTTTTAGTGGCACATTCATTGTTAAAACAAGACGTAACAAAACCTTTTTCTAATAGAGCTATGAGGCAGATACTGTACTTCAGGTCTGTGCATGCCTGTGCTCCCACAGAAAGAAGAAAGCTAGGTCCAGTATTCGGGTCCAGAGAGGTTCGGAGGGGGACAGTGGTGTGGGACAGCAGGAAACGGGACAAGAAGGTTTGGTCTTTGGTTCGGTCCTTGGACCTGTACTCTTCAATATCTTCATCGCTGACTTGGATTTGGGTGCAAAGTGTGCTCTGTCCAAGTTTGCGGATGATACTAAATTGTGGGGTGAAGTGCACACTCCAGAGGGTAGGGAATAATTGCAGGCAGACCTGGACAGGGTAGAGAAGTGGGCAGTACACAATAGGATGCAGTACAACAGGACAAGTGCAGAGTGCTGCACCTAGGGCGCAAAAATGCCCAGCACACCTACTGCCTGGGAAGTGACCCTCTCAGCAGCACAAAAGCGGAAAGGGACCCCGGAGTCATAGTGGACTCCAAGATGAACAGGAGTCGTCAGTGTGACGAAATCATCAGCAAAGCTAATCTCACTTTATCATGCATCAGCAGATGCACGACAAATAGATCCAGGGAAGTGATACTTCCCCTCTATGCGGCATTGGTCAGACCGCAGTTGGAGTACTGAGTCCAGTTTTGGGCGCCGTACTTCAAGAAGGATGTTGATAGACACAAGAGGGTTCAGAGGAGGGCCACTTGTATGGTTAGGGGCTTACAGGACAAGCCGTATGAGGAGAGACTGGGGGACGTGGACCTCTTCAGCCTCTGCAAGAGAAGGCTGAGAGGTGATCTTGTGGCCGCCTACAAATGCATTAGGGGGACACAGCAAGGGATCAGAGATGCTCTGTTCACCAGGGCACCTCTTGGGGTAACAAGGAACAATGGTCACAAGTTGACAGAGAGCAGATTTAGGCTGGATATCAGGAAAAACTAATTCATAGTAAGGGTGGCCAAAATTTGGAATGGGCTCCCAGTGGAGGTGGTGCTCTCCCCTACCTTGGGGGTCTTCAAGAGCAGATTGGATAGATACCTGGCTGGGGTCATCTGACCCCAGCACACTTTCCTGCCTATGCAGGGGGTCGGACTTGACGATCTGTTGAGGTCCCTTCTGACCCGAGCACCTATGAATCTATAAGGTGCAGCTGCTTGCCACTGGAGAAAGACTGTTTGGACAGGGTAGTTGGAGCGTTTCAAGAGGTACACCGATTCTGCATGGTTACTTGGCCCCTATTATTAGAGCACTGTGGACCCCAATCTTTAATATACTTTGGTATGAGGTCAAGCAGTGCTGCTGTTCCTGGGTTACAGATTGGCAGCTGCGTTAAGAGAGGAGCTGACTTGCTTAGAAGTCAGAAAAGTCTTGAAGAATTGAACTGTATTCTCCCAGCAGTTGGGTTAGTGTCCTAAACAACAGACCATCTGTTTGCATATCTTGGGGCAGTCTGTAGCACACTGTCTGGTAGGTTGGCATAGTAAAAGGGAGAGTGTTGGGGAGGAAAGAAGTCAGGAGAACAGACTGTAGCATGAAGTGGATTGCTAAAGGGGTGTCTACACAGCCACCACAGCAGGATAGCAAGGACACCTGAGGTGGCTTAGCACTAAATTCTGTAGGTGCCAGCAGCAATCTGGCCACAGCATCATAAAACACAACTGAAAAACCAGATAAATTAACAGGCTCTGAGCTCCATGCTCTCAATTCCTGAGCTAGCATCAGATATTTCTGTACTACACTGAAGCCTTAGCCTTTTAAAGCAGAAGTGGAAAGCTGGGCATTGAGATGATCACGGATTTTCTCCTGGAAACTAGAAGCAACAACAAAGTTTTATGGGCCGCCAGAAACACAGGAAGGTTAAAAGACTTCCGAGTTAATGCTAACCTTTGAGTTACTGCCCATAGCTTGATGCGTTAGGGCTGATAAATCTGTAAAAGGTACTTTTCAGTGCCTGAGTTCCCACGCCCTTATTATTAATGCATTTGAAATGCAAAAGAGCATTTAATCATATCAGACCCCAAAGAGCAGACTACCATCCTGCCAGGTTTATGCAGTCCGTGAAGTTGAGAAAACCTTTAGGAATTAGATGTAATGTCATAAGCACTTTAATATACAGTCTTGTTGCTTTAACAGTGCATTTGTTCATCTGAGGATTTCTTATAAAGCAATTAATGCCTTCCAAGAACCACGAGCTCCCTGGGGAAGATAGGCTCCCAGCCTCAAGGCAGGTGGAATTTCTAGGCTGTCACGCAAGACTTTTTGGTGCTGTGCAAAGCATTAGCAAAGTGAACGAATCCATGCAGCTGTGTTGACTCTGGAGACTGGACAGTCACCTCGCTGGGGTCACTTGACCCCAGTTGTCTTCCTGCCTAGAGCTGGGCGGGATGATCTGCAAGGTCCCTTCCAACCCCTAACAATCTATGAATGTACGACTTGATAAGGAGACAGAGTCAAAAGCTGTTTAGAGTCTTTGTGCTGCATTTCACTGTCTGTAAAATGACTCTATTTCAGTCAACAGGACAGCATAGAAGCAAACAGAGAGCAACTCGAGTGCTCACGACCCTCAGTTCCTATATCGAGTTCCCTAGGCGACACATCCCCTACCAGACTGGCAGGACTTCCAACAATAGGCTTTCCCAAACGAGCTGCATTTTCTGGCATCTTTAGGAATTGTACTAGTTCCTTTTGTTCACATGGGCCATGGTTCTGGTTCTAATTGCCAAGAAGCTACTTTACTCCAGTTATAGTTTCTAATTGCCATCACATCTGTAGTCAGTGTCTTGTGAAGAACCCCCCATGGTCACTTGGATAAGCAGGGTAGATCCATTTGGATTCTGCAGATGTGAACTACTCAACTTGCAGTTTTTTCAGTGGATTACTCTGTTTGGAGAAGTCACAGGTTTATCAGATGTCAGAACATAGTTCTGACATCTCAGACCTGCAGGATGGGGCAAAGATGCAACTTAATGGGGGTTGTAGATTTATTCAGTTACCTGATATGGGAACTATCCAGCCATAAGTTCATATAGTTTAGGTCACTGTGGGTATGTCTGCATGAGATGGTTACTGCTGTTGACTAATTAGCTCAGTAAGTTTTGCACATCTACACGTGTGCCCCTGTTGGGCTGGAATAAGCTAATTGACTCCACATCAGGATAGTACTTGTAAATACAGGTACTATTCTGCAGTGGAGTTTGTTTTACTCCACAACAGTGCATGTGTAGACATTGTCCCAGCTGGCTGGGGTACAGGGGTGTTTTAGTGTGAAGGCTGCTTGCCAGCTAGCCCCGCACTGAAGCACCCTCGTGCCCCAGCCAGCCCCTCTGCAGCACACTGAGCTGAGGGGAGCAGCCCTGAGCTGGCCCCCAGGCTGCCCTGCCAGCTGGGGCTGCTCCGACCTGGCTCAACATGCTGTGGTCCCAAGCGATTGTTCAAACGGCGCACCCAGAAGCAATAAACTCTGGAGTTTATTGCTTCTCATTAATTGCACTTGTAGACATGCCTTGTTTCTTTCTTAGTAGGTCGCATCTACCCTCACCCCTCTCACTGCTGCTTCCTTAAGGAATGCCTTTCCCTAATATTTCAGTCATGTTTCATCAGGGAGACAGATCTCCCTATTCAAATGAGTATCAGCACTTCCCATCAAAAAGGACTGGTGCAAAGTCCTGACCTAAGACTAAGCTAAAGAAAAAGGGGCAATGTTTATGCAAACTCTTCCAGGCACATGGGGCCAGTGTGTTGCCTAGGCCCTACTTAGTCTGCCAGCTCATTCATACAATGCTTCCCCATCCTCATCAGCTATCCTGCAGGGGAGGAGGGACCCTTAAAAAGGCCAGTATCCTTTTTCCCCAGCAGTGCAACAAAGGCCTCTTTGCTTTTGAGATTAGAGGGGTGTATTTGCTAGACTCCAAAGGTGAACTAAAGATTTAAGAAGGTATGATACACAGGTCGTAGGGTAACCCCCAACCTGTTAACCCTACAAAAAGTGTCCATTAGGATAGTAACACTGTTGTAAGAACTGAAGCAACTGGTTAAATTACCATTGCATTTTTATTTTGATCGTGCCATCTTCTAAATCAGAACAGGCTATCCAAGCCAGATCTCATTCTAAGCAAGTCCTGCTCAGTTTACTATACTTGGTCATCACTGGGCTGCTTTATACATCTATTCAGGAGGAAAACGGGCCCATACACCATGCACGCAAGATGAAATTGTGCCTTCTACGTGTTAAAACTGCTGAAAGTCATCGTAAGTTCGTTTCACTAGGTCTGCAAACAGTGCACTTTACTCAGAATCATACTGATAAGAAACGTATAGACTCTTTCTAAATATTTGAAGTGCATTTGTTACGTGCTTGTTTTGCTTCATCCTGTTCAGTTATCAGGGGATAGGAATTTCACATCCATCTCTGTCGATCATCCAAAAAACCCTGCTAAATTTCTTCAATTTTGGACTTGTAACTTAGTAGCCTACACGCGATTGAAACTGCACCAGCCAACCTCCTGCTTTCACCCTTTTCCAAAAGCAAGTCTTGTTTTTAATATTTTCTCTTAAACTACATGCAGTGCTTTCCTGGTTTTGGTTCTTCCTTCACATTTATCCATTTTGGTAATTTTCTTCTTTTTTAAAGAGAGCATCTCTTTTTTTTAATCTTTCAGTGGATATATTATGCACAGATTTAACATGGGCTATACATTGGCTCAGTAAGAAGTCCCACCCCATGCACAATCATGCTTGAAGTCTTCATGGTCTTGGTATCAGTCTGAAATCAGCCAGCTTAAATGAAGTGTTGTGGTGGAACACTGACTTTTCACAAATACGAAACGGATATTAAATGCAATCGCCTATGTGTTTAATGCACATCTTCACCATGTTTAACCAGGAGAGCAGGTCAGCTGATCAGAGATCCCAGTGTTAAGCATGAATAAATCTAACTATAAGAGAGATGGAAAGTGCAGTATATTCTGAACAAAAGCCTTGAAACTCCTGCTGAAGCTGCCTTAATTTATCAGAACTTATTTATAAGACTGTTTCTTCTTGTGTGTATCTTTCCTAAGTTTTTAGAAGAGATTCTTTACCCTTATCTCCCAAAGCTGTGAAGTAGGTACTGTAAACTTGGTAATATTTATTCTTGTTGCTGGGAGCATGTTCATGCACTCTGTATCATGTTCTACTTGTGTGTTTTGTAATCTTAAGATACTTCCTTTCTTTCGAGTGCAAAGCAAAACTGAATGACATGACAGCTGTAGCACCCACCTCAATTTGGGCAGGAAAACCCCCCTAAGCTCCAGTTAATTCCGGAGGGTTAGTACAACCCGTGTGTTGCAATTCCTTGTTAAAGTATTTTATTTTAAAAAAAAGAAAATTGTTTATGATTTTTGTTCATGATTTTCTCTGATTACGACATTTTGCCTGCCACCACAAAAAAGCTCTGGGTATAATTTTTTTTTCTCTAAAGAACAAGGTCTGTAAAAAATGTTATATGGGTTTTGGGATTTCACTTTGTTAACAGAAGGACCAGGAAAGAAGAGTTGCTTTTTATTATTATTCTTATTAATAATAATGATTACAGTACTTTTAAAATAATAGCTGTTGTGAAAGGCCAGAAGCCCTAGTTTCAGTTTTGTTCTTTGTGCAAGTAATTGACCGTTAGGAGTCACAAAGAAGCCTTTTACCTTCCATTTATGGTGTGGAAAGTGTTTCTCTGTGTACTGCACTGCATGTGATAGCTGTCTTCATGGCTGACATTTGCACTTTAATAAACTCAGAGATGGAAAAAAGAGACCATAGCAACAAAGCCTTAAAATATATATTTAAATTAAAAGGCCTCAGTGCTCCTGGAATTAATAATAATCCCTTTCCTTCCTCCCCATAAGCCTTCTGGTATCAAGAAATAATGGAAAGAGAGGCAGAGCGGCATACATCCCAAATACCGACACAGACTAAGCATTCCCCTTAGAGCTCCAGGGGAAGTCCTGACTCCACTGTAATCAGGGGCAAAAATCCCATTGACTCCTATAGGTGCTTGTCCACATAATCAGCATTTACCTGCTAAAAATGTTCCAGGTTTAATTTTCCTTTCTTTGTTCATGATGACTAATTGGTAACGTGGAGGCGATTTACCACGTAATGGCTTATTATGCTATAACTAGTAAAATGTGCTAGAGGGCACGTTGGAACAATCCAGACAGGCCCCCCGTGCCCACTGTCCTAAGTATATGGGCTCAAATCCTTCTTGGGCCACCCCATGCCTCTGTGGTTTTTCTGGTTTGCCTGAAATTGGGCTGTTTTTTGGGCTAGGATTACAGCTGGAAATTCTCCCTAGTCAGAGGTGTCCAAGAGAGTCCCCCAGTGCCACATGGGCACGGACTGGGGTGCAATAGCCACATATAACAGTGCATGGGAATGGCAGATACGCGCCCAGCTCTGGGATGTAACAGCTGCATATAACAGTGAAGGGTGGGTGGGGCTGAGATGTACCCCAGAGCTGGGTGCAACTGTCGCATATCACAGTTTAGCACAGCCCTCACCATACACTGCCAGGGCCCTTCACTCCTGATCCGCAGCCCCCCACCCTCCCAGGAACGATGTGCAGTGGGGCCCGGAGGGACCAAAGCCCCGAGCTACAGGCGGCAGCTCAGTGTGCAGACAGTACATGGAGGATCTCTGAGGCACTAGAGCTGCAGCCAGCAGGCCAGGCGTTGACAGTTCAGTGGTACAGCTTTTGCCTGCCCTATGGGAAACCTGTGTTTGATTCCTGGCCAGGGCACCAGAGGGTTGAGTTGCCTGCAAAAGGGAATCCCCAGTAGGGAGAGGGGCTCCACTCACCTCTTCTACCCCACCACCTGCACTTCAAACTTTGTGGGTTCTGAATCTTATATTTTGTGACCCCTGCACCTCAAATCTGTTGTTGATTTGTCTCTGTTATATGTGTATGTTCACCTAAAATCCCTTTGACTCCCCTCTCCTCCCTGGTTCTGCCCCCTCCCTACTCCACGGGGGCCCGGAGGGAGGGTACCATTATCTCCCAGGGTCCCATTGCCCCCTGCATGTGTGTTATATCTTCTTTCCCTATTAAACCCATATATGGTTAAGTGCCAACTGGTCTCAGCTCTACTCTATAGGAGATATGGGGGAGTGGCTCTCCTCCTAAGTGGCTACCCCTCCCATAGTGCACTAACACCTGCTAAATCCCTTCAGTGGGAGAGGGGGGTACCTCATGTGGAGTACCACCCGAGTTACATTTACCCTTGCCCTGCCAGTCCCCCTCACTCCTGACCTGCCCACCCCCCCAGCCCAGCTTGTGCCCCTCATTTCCGACCCACAGCTCCTGATCCACAGGGAGACAAAAACCACACCAAGTTTAAAACCCTGGGTGCCCGCCTATGTCCTTAGGCCAACACTGCTACAGCCAGATACCTGTTCTAACAAAAAGTAAGTTTTAATTAACCTGAGTCTTGAACTGCTTGAACTATAAGAATTTGATCTTTGCCACAAAATGCATGCGAACACAGGAAACAATTTTTTTGGCAATCCAAAAAAAGTTGTATTTCTCATTAATCTAAACCATGAACTAAAATCACTAGTAAAAATTTGCAAGATTAGCCCCTGGAGTCTTGTTGCAGCATTGCAATAAAAATTCAAGGGATTTCTATGGATTACCAAGTGACCCCAAGCGGCACCTGGTGGTGAAATGGTTGCAAAGCAGGGAAAATCCGATTTTTGCACGCAAGTCAGTTCCACGGTGAAAATTTAAAATGATAAGAAAAACCCTCACGAAAGAAATACAGGAGCCAAAAATAAAACATGTTGCAGGTATTTTAAATTACCATGGGAAAAAAAACAACCTAAAACAAAATCAGCTGCTAATGTGGATACACAGATGCAATTTAGCCAGCTTAATGGTGATTTAATCACATGGACACAGGAAAAGTGTAATGTGGAAACAGGAGAGGTGTAACATGGACAAGTGCCCCAAGGCTTGACAACTACACCAAACAAATTAGGGCTTTTTCAAGGCCACTAAAATGGTGGTTATCATCAAGGGATTGGTTTTAAGAATACAAAGGGCAGAGATTAAAAAAAAAATTATAAAACAACTAATGCGGATGTTTCAGGATGTACAATCAAGCACCACTACCCAGGGTGCCACCTCTAGTTTCTTCATGTGCAATATTTTGATCTCACCTTGATTGCAGTTCCCTAGAGGGTGTGCATAAACTTAATGTAATGAGCCTTTCCCAGAGGGGGTGAAACGCAAGATGATTTTCAGAGCAATATGCTGCAATCCGTCCTCAAACAGATGCCTTAGAGCTCTTTATTTGAGTTTCATCAGGTTAGAAAAATTCTCTCTTCTACCCAGGTGAACGGGCATTTCCATTATCCCCAATCTCAAATGGAACTATTCCTTATGAGGACAAATGTGCTTTAATTTTGATTCGTCTCTAAGGGCTAAAGTTTTCACGTGGTGATTTAGGACCTAATCCCACAGTACTAATTTTTGTGCATAATTCCATTGCAATAACTGCATTAAAAAAAAAATTAAGGACTAGGGTAATGATTATACAACTCCTGTAAACAAAACCCCCCACAACAACCGTGCACCAGATTTTTTACCTGTTGTAAATTGTGACAGCCTCACCACTCAACTGAACTATGGCAGTTGACAATCCGACCCAACATGAAGTTTCACCTACAAACTCTTCCTATACTTTCTTAGGCCTTGCTTTACAAATTCAAGTTTAAATGTCATTAGAAGACAAAAGCAGGCAACATGATGAACAAAGCAGTTCATAACACTGAAGTCAGTGCAAAGAAATGTAAAAGGTAATGTTATACTTGAAAGAAAGAAAAAAAAAAAAGCAGCTACATTTGCATTGCTGAAATCCAGATCAGAAATTTTATAAGAAAGCAAGCAATAGATAAGTTGCCTTAGCAACTTATCTAAATATCGTTACACAGGGAAGCCTGCAGATGAAGGACATAATACAAATTCCAATCTGGAATCAGATAAACACAAACTCCACAAGTACTCCATCTACATTTCAGAAGTCTAAATATTTGTGCTGGCAGTCTTGCAACATTGCACCATGCTTAAGCTTTTGTAAGTATGGATGCAGTCCAGCACACTTAATACTAACCACATGTAAAGATAAATAAAAATGCCTTTAAGGGTTCTAAGTAAATGCTAAATATTTGCTCTGATTTCTTGAAGTTGCTCCATGCCAACTTTTGAAATTACCATGTGGCCAACAGCTTTGTGTGCACACCATGTTTACTTAAACTTGGAAACATTTAACCATTTCGAATTAAAACCATGGCATTTTTTAGAATGACTTAAGTTCTTATTTATCAATGAATGGACTCTTCCTCCTAGGAACGCTAGAAAAGTTTATATAATATCACAGATTAGCTCCCTCAATCTCAGTTCGGTTGACCAGAGGACCAAGTTCATCCATTTCTCTCTAGTTCTAGGAGGAGATTTAAAAAAGAAAAAAAAAGATTGCAAGCAACTTACAAAATTCTTTTTATTATACTGGTATTAGTGTTTTATTTACTACTTTTAACATAAAATCTGTTACTTATAGAAATTTTAAACACATTAAAGTCTGTTTGCAACACCTAAGAAATAATAGCAACAAGACAGATATCAAGTGACACAGTTATTATGCGCGGTGAATTCACACAAGAATTGTCCGTACAAACGCCAAGCTACATATATACATATCTGTTGAAGATGTAGAGAGAGATGGATATAGATATATATAGTATCATATGTAGCTTGGCATTTATATATGCCTTCACACAAGACTTGTCCGTACAAATGCCAGGCTACATATGATATTATATACCTCTCTCTCTCATATGAGAGAGAGTGAGTAACTGAGCATTTGACTACTGGTAGGCCTCATACATCCTCTTCAGTATCTGCAAAATCAGCAAACACTGGAAAAAAAGTCATCAGTGAGAATTCAATCAAGATGTGATAGTTGCCTCCCATGCACTATTACACATTTAAAAGGGGCCTCTCATCTTAAGTGAAAAGCTAAACAAGCTTCATAGTCCCACTCATCTCTCATCTGTTGCCATATAAGGACTCACACTGTGCACCATCGTGGAGGAAGCTTGAACCTGG